TCCTCCTCCTCCTCCTCTCCTCTCCTCTCCTCTCCTCTCCTCTCCTCGCCTCTTCTCCCTCCCCTCCCCTCCCCTCCCCCACCTCCCTCCATGATTGGCGTTCTCTTATAGTTTGTGTTTCAGGGACATTCAAAGTCCTTTCAACATCGTCGACTTTCTCTCAAGCAGGTCAAATCGGCTTCTTCAATGACACGTTCCCTTGAACCCCCATCTTCCTGCTCCTCCTCCTCGCCCCCTTCCCCCTCTCCTTGATTTTAACGCTCGGTTTCTCTTTCTTTGCGCTCAGTGCGGACTTTCTTGTACTCCGCGCATTTTTCCACGACTTGTATAACGCTACGAAGGGGAAGCAAATCAACGATGGTATGAAAAACTTTCATCTCCCGCCCCGTCCTGTCCTGTCCTGTCCTGTCCTCCCGTGCCCTGCCTCCTTTCTCCTCGTCTTCTCTTCGTCTCACATCTAAGTCGTAATTCAGGACAAGTCTGCTACGACCGCACCATGTTCTGGCCATCGCTCATCACTAACAGCAAGCAGAAGCCTTTCAAAGGTCTCCCCTCTTCTCCCTCCTCCCCCGATCGACACCCCTTTCTCTTCCTCGCCCTCTCGTCTGCTCTTCCCTCTCCTCCTCCCTTTCTTACCCTCCCTTCAGTTCCTTCCCGCCCCCTGCCCCATCTTTGCTCGTCCTCTCGCTCCCCCGCCCCCTCCCCCTGCCTTCTGTTCCCCTCCCCCCCAAACTGTTCCCCGTTCTATCCCTATCGTCTCATCACTCTTTCAGGAACCTTCCTTGGTATCCTCGGAGCTCACCACTGGTCCATAGCACTGCCGGTAGATCGCGCGATACCTCCTGCCCCTGCCTCCTCCCCTTCCCCTTCCTTTCCCCAGCTCTTCTCCTGCTGACGAGCTCGCAGTCTGTCTTTGACGGGCAGTCCAGCAATTTCCCACGAGAAGTTCTGCTTGAGACCTTGGCGACTTTCCTTGCGCACGAGAGAGTTCCGTTCTACAAGAAGTGACGCACTACCCTCTTCCTCATCCCCCCCTTTCATTCCGCCACTCTCTGCTTCCTTGCTTCCCCAGCACAGCTTCGTACATTCTTTCGGATATCTCAACAACTATCAGTGGCGGATATACTTGATACTCTCGCTCTCGCCAGTCTCTTCACTCACTACACTGAGTCGTCAAGAGTCGTTAACTGCCCCTGCTCCTCCCACTCCCTCCTTTTTCTTCGCAACACACCAGCTCATCTCAGATGTACAGGAAGATTTATTAGCGTCTTTGAGGAAGAGGAGGACTACTGAGACAAGGTCTTCTGCATGTGTAAGTCATCTATCTCTGTGCGAGCTTCTCCTGCAGGGCCTTGTCCTTCTGGCGAACAGCCTCAGCGTTCTTCTCCCTGTCCTGCTTCACGCGCTCATACAGCGCAGGGTCAGCGATGGCGATCATCTGAGCAGCGAGGTAGCCAGCGTTGGTGGCACCAGCCGACCCGATGGCAACGGTGGCGACAGGGACGCCGCCAGGCATCATGACGGTGGAAAGGAGAGCGTCGTGTCCCTTGAGAGGACCTCCGTCTCCGGGGATACCGATGACAGGCCTGCAAGTGAGGCCGGCAACAGCTCCGCCAAGATGGGCGGCGAGGCCAGCGCAGCAGATGAAGACGACGCAGCCTCTCTGCTCAGCATCCTTGACGTAGGCGTGCGTGTCCGCGGGAGTTCTGTGAGCGGAGGTCACCTTGGCCTCCCACTTGATGCCGAGGGAGTCAAGAGTCGACATAGTCTTCTCGAGAAGGGGAAGGTCCGAGTCGGATCCCATGAGAATGGCAACAAAGTAACTCATCTGCAGGAGAACGTGTAAGAGAACGGTCTGATACTATTCAAGATTGCATGAACAGTTTTCTTAGATAGAATGAAGCAGTCAATACTGTTGATCTACCAATCACTGTACAACACTGTCATCCCACTTCATGCTAGTTGATGGGAGCCGCGTCTGTTGACCGATCAACTTGAGTTCAATTGAACTCCATGTTTAACTACGACACTGGTAGGTGAAGGCAAAGTGCTCTGTGATCTAAAAATGTAACCACTAGCTGAAATGCTTAGATCCCTCAAAGCTTTTACTTCCGAACAAGCAATGTTGTGCCTACCCAATCCGAGATATCGTATATTTTCATAACATTCGCACATACCTTCCTCTCCATCCTTCGTCCTATACTTCTATCTTCTCACTCATTTAGTCTCTTGCTCCCCTTCAAACATCTTTCCATCGTCTTCGTTCTCCCTTCTTGTTCGCTCGCTTCTATCCCTTTCGCATTTCCACGATTCTTCGCAGCCTGCCTCCCATATTTATTGGAGGATCCCCGATCACCCCGTTCACCCTTTATGTCCTTCTACCTGTAAAATCGGGGGTACAGTCCACCCTACCGTTACCACCCGTCAATGCGACTCCTTAGATTTTCTTGGGGAAGATACAGGGGTACAAAGTGGTCTTTTCGGGGGGTGATGGGCAAGTAAAATTTTCCAAGGGGGGTGGGGTCAATGGCATGGACCAAACAATGTGCTACCAAGGACACTCGATGGGTGGGGTATCCCAAATAAATGTATCAGTTATTTCAGGGGTAGGGTACAAGAAGATAGGGGTCATTTTATCTCATGATTATGGGAAAATACCAGGGTACATCCAGTGATCATGGACTTTTACTGGGGTGGGTGTGCCAATGTACATGTCGGGGGTAGGGTTATCTTGCTGGGGGATCTATTGTAACTGAGCAAGGGGGGTGGTCCGTTGCGGCCCGCACGTGTGATTTTAGTTTTACAGCTTTTAATATTAAAACTTTATTTTAAACAGGACGTATTACGTACGGAGGTGTAATATTTATGGGACTAAATAGAGCAAGATGCTAGTTTTACATCTGATTTGTACGAAGCTTTTAAAATACTCTTGAATATAAAAAGTAGATATACATTTATTAAAAATGTATAAAAATATAGAAAATACTTTTGCTTCAAAATCAATAGTAGTTGGAGATCTCATTGCAAAAATCATAGTTGTAGAGCTTTGGTCTGCTACCATTTGCTCATATATATATGTATTATCTTTCATCAAAAACTCATTAAATAGATTTAAAATCCACCGACTGTAAATATACCCCACCCTCGTTTCCCTACCCCTTCACTCAACAACAACTTGGACCAGGACCCCCACCCCACCAATCCTCAGACATCCCAATACACAATCGAAGGGTCATTCCTGATCCAATCAGCACCCCACCCTTATTCACCCACCTTTGAATTTTTCAATGTACCCCTTCTTCACCATGAAAATACCCTGGAAATTTCACTCCGACACCCTACCCTTCTCCTTCATCTGTTTGTACACCCCACCCCTCTTTGGCAACCCTACCCCATCCAACCGAGTTCCACGATCCCCTACCCTCTCTACACCCTCAAGAAGACGCTTCTCCTGCTCCTGCTCTTCACGTCTCCTGTCTCCTCTGCATCTCCCGTACCTCCTCCGCGTCTACTCTCCACCTTTTGTCACACAGAGTCCTTCCTCACAACCTAGCCCTAGTTTCTTCCACAAGTCAGCATGAGTCTCGCAAAGAAGGTTCTGGAGGTCAACGACGACCTCCCCATTAAGACAAATCTCCCGGTCCACAGCGGGAAGGTACGCGCTGTCTACTGGTTGACGGATGAGGACAGCAAACGTCTGATCGAGGAGAAGGGATACAACGTCGCTCCAGGTTCCCCTCTTGCCATTATGGTCATCAGTGACCGCATCTCTGCCTTCGACTGCATTTGGCAGGGAGAGGGGGGCATGAAAGGAGTTCCAGGGAAGGGAGCTGCCTTGAACGCCATCTCCTCTCACTGGTTCAAGATGTTCAGAGAGAAGGGACTTGCTGACAGCCACATCCTCGATGTCCCTCACCCCCTTGTGTGGATCGTTCAGAAGGCGAAGCCTGTGATGATCGAGGCGATTGCTCGCCAGTACATCACTGGCTCCATGTGGAGGTCCTACACCAAGGGAGAGCGGGACTTTTGCGGGATCAAGATCCCCGATGGGCTGAAGCAAGACCAGAAGCTGCCCGAGCTCCTCATCACCCCTTCCACCAAGGGGATCCTGACAGGCATCCCAGGGGTCCCGGAACAGGACGACGTGAACATCTCTCGTTCGGACATCGAGAACAACTACGAGGCCTTCAACTTCAAGTCGACCGCCGACATCGACCTGTACGAGAAGCTCCTCAAGGAGGGCTTCGACCTCATCAGCAACGCTCTGGCGGAGTTGGACCAGGTCTTTGTGGACACCAAGTTCGAGTTCGGCTACGTCAAGGACCGTGAGGGGAAGGAGAAGCTGATCTACATGGACGAAGTCGGAACTCCTGACTCCTCGAGGATATGGGATGGGCCCTCCTACCGTGAGGGCAAGGTCGTTGAGAACTCCAAGGAGGGATTCCGCCAGCTGCTCCTCAAGCACTTCCCTGACCCTGACATCCTCCTCAACAAGGATAGAATGGAGGAAAGGAAGGCTCTGGCAAAGAACAACCCTCTTCCTGAGAGTGTCTTGATGGAAGTCTCCAAGACGTATGTAAACATAGCTGAGAAGATCACTGGGAAGAAGCTCGAGATTCCGGACGATGCCAAGGGTGAAATCATCAGCATCCTTCGTGACCAGTACAAGGTCATCAAGGAGTGATTTGCCGAGGCGGACGGACTGCAAGAAACTCTCATACCCCTGTAACTCTTTGGCTAAATTAAAAAACAAGAAATCGCGCTGTGCTCCCTCGCTTCTGAATATTTTCAGGTTGATTCGCTCCTCGATTTGTCCCAGTTTGAGGCATCAGCCTCAACTGAGCCCGTGCATGCTTTCAGCACAAGAGATCCTTTGTTGTCATGAAGGGAAGTGAGAGCTTAATGGAGCTTGAGTTGGAATCTGCGCAGGATGAATGTACAAGTGTATATTACATGTTCTGGTCTTCTACGAGCTGCTCACGCCAGGTTCGGGGTGATCCACTTACCCACCCATCCCTTGGGTCGATCAGGAGTGAACCCAACCTGCTCCAGCCACGTCAGAACAGCAAGGGACAGCAGCGGCACTTGCCGAGTCCTTGAAGCACATCCCAGTCGTCGCGCTCCCACCGGATCCTGCATGCATGTCAACCGACGAGACTTCCCAATGATGCGCGCGGTGCTGCTCCACCTGCTTCGTCCGTGATGCTGCCCAGCAGGTGAGTGTAGTCACAGTCGAACGCTAGTCCCGGCTGCCAGCCATGTCCCATCGATTCCGGAGGGCCAATGCCCGGTTTTCCAGCCTCCTTGATGTAGCATCGCCACCTGCAGGAGAACACCAGTCAGGATTCGCTTCACAGGAGAAGCAAGAGATCTTTACGGGTCAGAACATGCTGTCCAGTCGTCAGCGTTCGCCGACTGCTGGGCGAAAGTTTTCTTTGCCGCGAGCAGGCTGAGAATCATCCTGCTCAAGGAAGTTTAAGCTCAAAAGAAGCAAAGAGGACGATGACACTGCATGAAATCCTTCACTCTTGTGTCCAGCCTGCTACCCTTGTATCTCTGGTTTGGAGCCTGCATCGAAGGGACAAACTTGGAAATCCCCACACATCGGATCGATGTGTGGGGAGGCAAGAGACTAGGACTGATCACAGGACTGCAACAGTATGTTCTCCGTACATGATAGATACAGGAAAGCTACGCTTGCACATCATTCCTCCCTCTCCCCCCCTTCCTCTCCTCCCTTTGCCCTTGCCGGCTTTCCATCATTCGTTCGTCTCGCTATGGACCAGGCATGGGTCGTTTTAAAGGTCAAAATAAGGGGTGGTATTGCGTGTACCCCTACCCGTGCATCGTGTCTACCTACCTTAGGGTTGAGTGCTCTTCTTATCTCATTCGTAGAATATACCTTATACATATCATATTATTATTATCTGGTCTTATGTAATCTTATCATGCACTCTATCTGACCTCTGAATTATGTACCACCCTCAAGTCAGAAATTTTCCTGACCCCACAATTAGATGACCCCCTACTCCCCCGCAAAGAGAACACATAAGAAGGATGGTCGCCATGGCGCGAGCGGCAATGGTAGCGGTGCTGGTAGCATGTCTTGTCGACCTCTCGCTTGCTTTCTCTCTCCAAGCACAGCCAACTCTCTTCCGCCATGGTGTGAGGAGAGCCTTCGTGGTCAGGAGCCCTCCTGCGTTCAGATGCCACACCAAGAGGACAAGGATCGGGCAGCAGAAGTCATGCCCTGCGCTCGTGTACATGAATGCGAAGGTGTGTAGAAGAGGAAGGACCGCGAAAGAGGGTGAGATAACATATTACATCTTTTCTCTGCAGGATGAGTTCATCCCCGCAACTGTCGTGAGCAACGAGGAAGCAGCTTCGGGGCTGTACAAGATAATGCTTCAGGTTGACCCTGCAGTGTGTACCTCATACAAGGTAAGGAGAGGCTTCAGTGAGATGAAGGCCTGATTTCATCCATTACAGATCCCAGGGCAGTACCTGAAGGTCAGGAAGGATTCCAGCATGGAGAAGCCTGGCTTCTTCGCTATTGCCAGCCCCCCCAAGGCCGATTCCAACGTGTTGGAGTTCCTGATCAAGAAGAGTGAGCCGAACAACTGGGGGCCCGGGTCTGTGTGGTTCTGCGACTCTAAGAAGGAAAGATCCTCGAGCTTGCCTTGCTTGCCTCGTGAACCTTGACGTGCAGGGCTCGACGGTAGAAGTGACTTCAGGGCAGGGACGAGGGTTCCCGGTGAGTCAGTCGGGGAGAGGGAATGGGAGGGAGCATGACTCTGCCTGCAGTATGCGGGAGTTGACAACGTTAAGCAAGTCCTCATGTTTGCGACCGGGTAAGCTCGGATCATACCCGGGGCCCGATGACTCAAACCTACTCGCAGCTCTGGGATCTCACCGCTGAAGGCTGCCATTGAGAGCCAGGAGCTCTCGTCCAAGAACGTCAAGCTCTACTACGGAGCGCGATCAGCAGGCAAGAGTCCGCTTGCTCCTTGTTTGCTCGTCGTCGTGACCAGCCGGCAGACTCCATGGCATACATGGACAAGTTCGCTGACTGGGAGAAAATGGGCGTCGAGGTCATCCCAACCCTCTCGAAGCCCGGCGACAAGTGGGATGGACGCACAGGATACGTGCAGGTTCCGAGGCTTGTCGAGCAGACGACTGGGAGTGACTCGTGCTACCTTCCAGGAAGTTTGCAAGGCCGATGGTGTGAAGGACCCACAATCAACCGTCGCTCTGCTGTGTGGAGTGAAGGGGATGGTAGACGAGGTTCGCAATGAAGTGCTTTCCTTGACAACCGGCTTGACGTCAGCTGCTCCAGGTCAAGACAGTCTTGAAGGATGCGGGAGTGCCGGAGTCGAACATCTTGCTGAATTTCTGAGGTTGAGGTTTGAGATGCCCAACATCCTCGGATGCAATTGAAGGAAGATCACACCACCGTGAGATATGAACATATTGAAAGGTGGAAATTCAAAACTGTGATTTATTGCCTTGTATTTTCAAACTCTTAAGTGCTCATATTCGGCATTGGACAACTTTCACTGGACACTGTTGATGCCAGGAGGAAGGCCAACCATGCTGCCCACCATCGGCAAACCAAAGCCCATTCCCTGCTGCATACCGGGGTAGGTGATGGTTGGTTGGCTGAGGGGGGTTCTACCGAGAGATGTCAGACCAACAATCAAGTCACAACCAGCGTTTACCTTCTGGTGAGGTTAACCTGGATCGTTTCCTGCTGCCCACCCGCATTGCGTCCCAACACAAGGTTGATGCTGGTTCCCTCTGCGAAAAGAACTTGAGAGAGCACCGGTGAACAATCAGTTGCTCGACTCACCACTTCCCTTGACAAGGTTGAACACTTGTTCAATGTTCAGGCTCGAGACGTCCTGATCGTCAATTTTGAGGATGCGGTCCCCTTCCTTCACCTTGCCACTCTCTACACAGTAGCTTAGATCTTTGGCTCAAGGAAACTCACTATGTTCCACTGACCTGCCGCTGGGCCGCCGGGAACGAGAGACTGGATCGTAACCCCTTCGCTGCTGTCACCCTGCTTGAGCTTGATACCAACCTGATCAGCGAGGATTAGCATTTTGACAGGATTGCTGCATTCATTCTCACCCCAACTCCCTGGCCCGAAAAGGTGGCAAACGACATGGAAGACACGGCTGGCATCGGAGCGCTGAACGACTGCATGGGGAGGGACTGCACGGAGGTGAAAGTCTGCTGGGGAGGAAGTGACTGGAACGAGGTGAAGGTCTGCTGGGGAGGGAGAGACTGCTGAGTCTGAAACTGGACACGCATCCTCTCGAGCTCGGCCTCGAGGTTGTAGCACTTCATCTTCAATTGATCGTTCTCCCCCATCAGCTGAGCCTTGGCCTGCTCCTCAGCCGCCAGACGCTGCCTGAAAGTAGCGATCTGCGAGTCGAGCACTTCCATCTGCCCGCCGAAGGACCTGAACTGCATCTCGGACTGGGAGGCGACAGCCTTCAACCTCATCAGCTCGTTCTCGATGCTCGACTTGTCGTTTGACATCTGATTGATACTCTTCATCCACATCTCCCTCTCCTGGCGGTGCGCGTCGTTCTCGATCGCAATGGCCTCTGAGCGCCTCATCATCTCCTCGTACTGCTGCCTGGTCTGAGCCAGCTCGGCAAGCAGCTCGGCCTTCGTGGACAGCAGCTGCTGGTTCTGCTCTTGCATGAACTGGCATTGTGACTGAAGCCCTTGCATCTCCTGCTTGATCGGGGCAACTTGACGGAGGTCGTTTTGCAACTTCATGATTAGCTCCTCTTGTGCCCTGATCTTCTCCCTGCTGAAGTCCAGCTCTTGACGAGCTGTCAGATGCTCCCTCCTCACTGCGGCAATGCAGCTGTCCATGACTTCGAGGCCCTTGCCATCGAGGGCAAGGAGAGCCCTCTCCCCATCGTACAGGCTTCCGGTGCTTCCGTAGAGGGAGCTACCTCCTGCGATTGACATCCTGTTCATTCCGAACGCAAGGGAGGAGGCGTTGAGGGACTGCAGCTATGTCAGTGTGACGTGGCTGTGGCAGGGGGAGATACAGTTCGACTGACAGGATCATAACAGTTCACGGTTTCAGACAGCCAACAGCAAAGCAAACACATCATAGAACGAAAGGAGAGGCTCTGCCTCCTCGGACTTCACCGCACCCTCCTCCTTCCCCCTCCACACCCTCCACACCAAGGAAGAACTCACTCCAAGGGAAGGCCCAGCAAAGTCGTAGGAGGAGAGGATTCGCATCCCCGAGGAGGTCTGTACTTCCTGCCCCTGAGAGATCTGAGAGATCTGAGGACCCTGGGAGGGCTGGAGAGAAGCAGGAGAAGTCTTGGCTGTGCTCTTGTCGTCGCCTGCTGCTGCCATTGTTCGAAGCCGCGGTTCGCCAACCTTTGATTTTCAACGACTTGGCGTCCCTGACTACCCTACCCCTTTGTAGTACCTACATTTTCCACCTGACTTCAAGTTGAGTGACCCCTATTTTCTCCTTGCTTCCACCCTCAATTTTCCCAGACGGTCCTGCACCCCTGTCACATTTTGTTTTTCTATGGGTCATCATCTACCCCCTACCCCCTGAAATAGAGTGATCCCTTGCGCTCACTACCCGTTTGAAGACCAAACGTCAATCTATTACCCCACCATATCTTCCATCAAAGGCATATATACCCCCCATTCTTACTTTTCAAGTACCCGTTGTCTCTCGTGAGTACCCCTCGAGGTTCCTAGTATAACCCCTACACCCCTTCATCTTCCCCTCCGCCATTCTGCGTTGGAGCCAATTTAACGTTCGAAAGCAACAACCCCACTCACCCTGTCTCTTCCTACCCCACCTACTATTATTCCTTTGACAAGAACTCAGTCTCTCTTATATTGTAGGGGTAGTGGTATGTACCCCCACCCCCTACCGTGATCAATTTCTGGTTTCTCACTTGCACGGGTTGCTCACTTACAACACGAGCCCACCTCAGCATCATACCAAGTGACTCACACCACCCCTATGCCTCATTAACCCCCTTTTCAAACAGGATTTGGTACGGGTACCTGAAATTAAACACCCCAGTACCTCGTATTTGACTGGTTCAGCTACCGGTAATTTTGCCTGTTTGACTGACCACCCCCAAAAGAAAGGGCAAGGGCACCGGTGAAGTAGGTACGTGATGACTACCCCTGGTCAAGATATGTTTAGAAGTACCCCTTCTGCAAGTCAAGTTTCGGTTGGAGACCGTGTCAAAAAATGCGCTTTTTTTGAACAGGATGAAGAACATGCGAGGCAGAGGAAACAGAGGATGAGATAGAGGATTTCAATGAGAGTGTATACAAGGCTAAAGAGGGAGAGAGCGGCTGGCATGGAAGAACATGCAGCGTTTGAGGACTGGGAGGGAATAGAATTCTGACTGGACGAACGAAAGGGCGACCATGGAATCTGAATCGCCGAACAAGGTCATGGCTCGTGATCTGGCCGACATCAGCAACATCTCAGCATCACTGTCGGTGTCGAGGGAGCTGCCACCATTCTCGCGGCTGGAGATCTATCAGAAGATTACTGCTCTCCACCATCACATGAATTCTCCCAGGACCCCCAAGACAGATCGCACGCACTACAGGCCAAGGTCGAGCAGCATAAGCAAGAAGGTGCAGGAGTTCAAGAGTCAGTTCCGTCCTCAGACCGTTGTTCACAGCCCCCGGAGGCCCCAGCAGAGTCCAGGGAGCCGCCAGGGCCATGGCGAACTGGATCCCGAGCTGCAGCTAAGCATGGAGACGAATCGCTTCATCGAAGACTTGTCCGAGAGCCTGAGTGGTCTGCCGATAGAGCACAGCCAGTTCCGGCTCGTTGAGCAAGAGCCGCAGAGTCCTTACACGCTACGGCCGGACAGCCCGGTGACTCAGGAGGCCATGGCAAGGCTGGGGATAGTACATTCGGAAGTGGAGCCTCTGGAATATGAGAAGATTTTGAGAGATACCAAGTACAACGAGAAGATTGCAGGCATACGATATCAGTTCCTTGAAAAGAGCAGGCAGGCGCTTCTTGAAGACGTCAGGCAAGAGCGGGAGAGACTGTCGCTCCTGCGGAACATCATCGTTGGTATGAAGGAACGGGAGCTCCGGGAGATCTTCAATCGCTTCGCTGCTGGGAGTGGAGCGCCGCAGGTCATGAGCTCGAGGGAGAGGACTATGGACTTCAACGAGTGGTGCGCGTGCTTGAAGGAGCTCAGCATGCTGCCAGACAAGGTGTCGATGGACCTGGCCAGGGAGATCTTCACCTTCCATGCCAACGAAGGGCGAGGAGAGCAGGTGGGTAACGCGATAGACTTGGTGAAGTTCCGGGCGTGTTTAAAGGAGGCCATTGACCATGTCAAGAGGGAAGAGACGATGAAGAAGCGGACGACCATCGGGTACGGGAGGTCGATCAAGGAGGAGCTCGAAAAGAAGAAGTCGGAGATCGAGCACCTGAAGGGGATAGAGCAGCGTAGGCTGGCGCGAGAGTTTGCGATCGAGGTCAACACGAGGGACAAGATTGCCCAGCTGTCGGAGAAGCTGACCTATGCCGATCATGTGGTGAAGAAGCGCATCGTCGAGTTCAGGCAGTCGCAGAGGGTGAAGCGGATGGCGGAGAAGGAGAGGTTCGAAGAGCGGGTGATGCAGAACATGAAGAGGAAGGAGGAGCAGGAGGAGGCCCAGCGTCGATACCAGAGGAACAAGGAGGAGAGAGATGAGGAGCAAAGAGTGCTGAGGTACCTACAGCAGGCGAGGAGGAGCGTTGACAGTGACGTGAAAGTGCAGGGAACAACAGATGGAAGAGAGGAAGGTAGTCAAGGTAGAGCTCCTACATCTCAAGTCCGCACACTTGCGGTCAAGACAGGTGCCTCCTCCTCCTCCTCCTCCTCCCCCTCCCATTGTCTTCTACTACTCCCCATCCTCTTCCTGCTTGCTCCTCGTCTCCTGCCACTTCCTCCCTTTCATGACTTTCCCACAGTTGAGGCACCAGCGAGCGGAGGAGCACAGGAGAAACGAGCTCGAGTCGCGACTGGCGGTGAAGAAGGAGCGGAACGAGTCGTTCCAGGAGCAGAAGATGCTGCTGACCAGCCGGCGGCAGCGCATGGCGATGGAGTGGGCGTACAAGCACGGGCTGCTGAAGGAGGCGAAGGAAGAGTTCGCATGGAAAGGCAAGTTCGTCAACATTCCTCTCCCTCTCCAGGACTTCAAACTGATCCAAAACTTCAACGCACCCAAGATCCCAGTCTACCTTGAGGACCTGGACGAGGAGGCGGTGGAACTGCAGGCAGGAGAGACTAGGGAAGGGACGGTAGAGCAGGCGGGGTACCACGACTACAAGTTCTTCGTCTCCTCAGAAATCCCCCGATGCTCCGTACGGATCTGCCTCAAGGCGATCTCGGGGGATCCGGACGTGTACGTGGGCAACGGGGCGTGCAGGAGGCCGAGGAAGGAGGAGGAGAAGTACACGTGGCACAAGTCAGACTGGGGGGACGACAAGATGGTGCTGTACTACTGGGAGGAGACGTTCTCCCTGGGCTGGCTGTACATCTCAGTGCGGGGGTCGAGGATGGGAGGGGACGGGCGGTGCGACTACGAGCTGTCGGTGGATGCGAAGCCCATGCCGAGCATGGAGATCACGATGAAGGGGCCGAGTATGGGGGAAGGGGAAGGGTAGAGATGAGGAGAGGGCTGAAGGGAGGAAGGAGAAGGGGGAGAGTGTGAAATGAAGCAGATGGGAGCGGACACGGGCAATGCGGACAGGAGGCTCTGCTGTACAGTTTGATAGGAAGCAACATACACTTATTCTACACTTCAACCTCTCCTCCCCACTCGTCGTGCCGCCGTAAGAAGAAAGACAGAGAGGAGGGCAAAGCACAGCAGCTCAGTAGAGGAAGAAAGATAGAAACCTCCTCCTCCTGCTCCTCCTCCTGCCTGCATGAGGGCGACAGGCCTTCCGTCCTTTGCTGGCTCCTCCTCCTTCCTTTGGCCAACTTTCGGCTCCTCGAGGTAGATGCCTCTTCCTCTTCTGTGCCTCGACCGCCTGTCGGACTTGGGCCCTCCCTTGAATTTCTGCTCTCACGAGTCAGGGGGGGACAGCAGGAGCAGCGACAGCAAGGCCAGCAACGAGCAGACGGAGAAGAGGATAGAGATAGGAGCAGCGAGGGGAGGGAACAGGAGGAGGAGGAGGAGGGGTCAGGGGAACCTGAGATGGCTCAGGGACTTGGAGGTTGCCATGCTGAGGAGGCATCTTGGCAAAGACTGCCAGGGTACTGGAGCCAGTATCGATGAGGACGGTGAAGTATTGGCGCGGAGAGCCGATGGAGATGTTGGCATAGTAGGCGGTACGAGCAGCATTCATCGTCACTGGCACGTGATCGACGCCATGCTTGAACTTGTCGCGCTTGGGATCCTGCAGGAGACAGTCACTGGAAAGAGAAGAAGGAAAGAAACGAGAGGAGGAACAGGAGAGGAGAGAGGAGAGAGGAGAGAGGAGAGAGGAGAGAGGAGAGAGGAGAGAGGAGAGAGGAGAGAGAAATGAAGAGTGGCGAAGGGAGGAGAGGGGGCGAGAGGGGAAGACGGAAAGAAGAGAGGGGGGGAGGAGGGGAGGAGGGGAGGAGGGGAGGAAGAGGAGGAGACCTCGACAAAGACGCCCTGGGGTCCTCGCTTGATCAAGGGAATCTTCAAAGAGTCCTGGGTGCCAGGAGGAGTCGGCTGGTAGAGCGGATTGCGAGGAGCGACGCCGATGCGAGGCTTGTGAGGTTTGGAGAGGTCGAACTCGACCACGAGGGACTGGAAGACGACATCGCCTGCATGTGCAGAGAGCAGAAACGGGGAGGGGGAAGAAGAGGAGGGGAGCGAAGAGGTAAGGTAAGGTGAGGAGAGGAGGGGAGAGGAGGGAAGAGGGGAGGAGAGGAGAAGACGAGAGTAGAGGTCAGGATCTGTCAAGCTCATTCATCTAGTCATACCGAGCAGGATACCGTCGTACGACTCAGGAGTCTTCTGCACACATGGTGCGTTGTTGAGCTTCTGCCACCTTGAAGGAGACGGTCAAGAACGCAGGAGGAGGAGCAGGAGGAGGAGCAGGAGGAGGGCAGGAGCAGGAGGTGGTGGTAGTGGAGGAGGAGGAACTGCACCAGCAGCAGGCGGAAGCGAAGAGGAGGAGAAGGAGGGCAGGAGGAGGAGGAGGAGGAGGAGGAGGAGGAGGAACCGCAGCAACAACAGGTGGAAGGGAGGAGGTGGTGGAGGAGGAGGATGGATAATTTGATTCACCAGAATTCGAACGGAATCTCGAAGAGATGGCCGTCAATGGTGATATAGAAAGACATTCCTTTCGTCATGATGGACATGAACTTAGAATATGGCTTTGCCGTCACCCTGGTAGCGATCAGCCTCCTCCTCCTCCTCCTCCTCCTCCTCCTCCTCCTCCTCCTCCTCCTCCTCCACATTCGTTCTCTCGCTCTCTCTCACCAACACCTCCACATCATCACACCTTCCTCCCAACAAGCTGTCGGGGATGACAAGGCAAGTCGTTCCCGTGTCGAGGATCGCCTTACACTCCAAGTGAGAAAAAGAACAAGCAAAGCAGAACGACGACAAAAGAAAGATCGCTAGTTCTCAACTCATAACAACTCTCAAGGGCTACAGGAAACATCTTCAACAACCCCCGAACAGTCTCACATGCTCTACACAAGACAAGCAAGCATGCTAGGTGGGATACCGGGATCGCGTTGGGACGCGTCTTATCTCTCCAGTTGAGAAGTTCAATTCCTCCAAACCTGCCAGCCCATGAGCACCGCAATGTCGGGGAGAATGACAGAGGGGAAGCGGAAAGGAGGAGATCAGAGGGAGGGATATTGGGAGGGAGTGGGTTTGAGGTTTCACGATATCGAGCGGGAGAAGAGAGCAAGGGAGGGGCGAGGAGGGGCAGGAGGGGAAGGGGAAGAAGGAGAGCAGAGGAGGGGAGCGGTCAGAGTTCGTTCTCACGTCAGAGATTGGACATTCACTGAATATTCCGTGGTGGACGTGGTGGGCACGTAAACCATGTCGGCGTTGGTGCTCGCTCCTGAGGTAGGAGGGTGAGAAAGAGGAGGGCCAGCTCAGTCTGGTCTCTCACTGTCGTATCCCCCCAGCTGGAGTTCTCCTGAGACCGCCGTTGACAAGAAGGCAAACTTGCGCGTATGCCTGCAAGAAACGCTCGTCAGCTCGTCGCACCCGATCCTCACTGCTTCACATCGGCCGTTCGTTCACGTAGTTCTGGCCCTCCAACCCTCCCCTGCACATCAGCCGGGTCAGTCCAGCAGCACACGAGCTGACCTCTCTCTCCTAACCTGTCGTTGGCAAGCGCGAAGATCAGAGGGGTAGGAATAGTCTCTAGAGCAGCTTCCGGCATCCCCAACCCTGAAGGCGAAAAGGATGCTTCAGTATCCCTCAACAGCCGTCCAGCTAACGCTCTGCTCACCCAAGATCCCATCGATACCGTTGAACTGCGGGTCGTTGCAGTCCAACGCACAGCCGAAGCGGGTCATGGCCTGTACATGCAGTCAAGGAGGAGGAGGACGAGGAGGAGGACGAGGAGGAGGACGAGGAGGAGGAGGAGGAGGAGGACGAGGAGGAGGAGGAGGAGGAGGAGGAGGAGGAGGAGGGGGGCTGGGAGGGTGGGGGGAGGGGGGGTGCCGTGAGCGGAGAAACTTTAAGGTGCCGCGGCCATTTGTGGTGGTTAGGTGGTCCAGACCCTTCTCAATATCCCCTGACCACATCTTACGCCACACATGGGGGAGATGTTTCTCTGGATCCCCTGAACTCATCTTACAACCTGTTCAGAATCAATGTCGGCTGGGTTTCAGGGTTCGTATGATACATGGATGAGCAACCCGGAAGTTGCACACTCGAAGCAGATCGTGCTGGCAAATCGAATGTATATGGAGACTGACGAGTAGAACTCTGCCCGAACAACTTGTATCAAAGTACTCCTCCAACGCAAGAAGATGATAGTTGAGAGAGCCCCAGGCGTTAATCTCATGG